AATATGAACTCCCAATGCATCCAACCTCTTTCTCTCATTTGCTCTTTTTGCTTGAGGACAAGCAAATGACAAGTGTGGGGGAGTTGATATGTTCATAATTTGCATCATTTGGGTTGTATATTTCATTCCAAATCATATCTTATTTCATGCATTTAAGGTCTTTAGGGGTTTTTTTAGGACTTAGGAGTTGCATTAGGTCCCAATGAGTCTTTGCATGTTTGGAGTGTTTATCAGGTGCATTTGGAGCTATTTGGAGTTGAAAAGGTGAATCCAGGAAGAGAAATGGTGATCAAGGCTTGAAAGATGGTGAAAATGGGTTTTGGAGTTCTCGGCCATTCTCGCGTACCGCAGGAAGGTTTTTCTCGGCCATTCGCATGTACCGCGGGTGGATTCCTCGGCCAAAACGCGTACCGGCTAGTTAAGTTTCTCGGCCAAAATTTCCGGATGCAAACACATTTCTGAAATCGCCTGTCCGGGGAACCTTCCGGTCCGATTCAGCTGTCGGGTGCTTCATCAAAGTTGGAGAAGATTGGCGCATAGTTCCAGAGCAGGTAGAATCATAGGATTTGGAGGCGTGAGCAGAGAGTTAAGCTCGTCGGAAGAAACCCCTGTCTCGCTGCCGTTTTGGATCGACCCGATAAGCTCCAAAGAATGCGAAGGACGGTGCACTTCCAGACCGATTCAATTTACAGGGCCTTCATCATAATCCGAGATATTTGAGTCCTCTTTCCATAACATCTGAGATCATTTAATTCAGAGCAATGAGCAAGAAGATAACGTTTCCGGAATGGACGCATGTCTAGAAGCCTCTTTTGATCGTATCAATGCACTGCGAAGATGTGCCCTCCAGGAAACCTTCCACTTCTCAAGCACCAAAGGTTCCTTCACCAAAGTTGAAGATGTCTGAGTCCTCTATCCTATGAAACTGGAATCACACCATTCGGACCAGTACCCTAGAAGTTATGCTTCCCTGAACGCAAAGTGGTCCGAGGAGCCCTGAACCCTGCGAGATTGATAACCCTTATCAAAGCTTAAATTATGCTAAGAGAAAGATGGCACGGTGGAATGCCACGGTCCACATCTGACCGTGGCACTTGATTGCAGTTCTTCGGGATTTGACACGATCTTCATGCCACGGCCTACACTTGACCGTGGCAAGGTAACATTTGGCCGCAGAAGGATTTTACTTACATTCGGCATTTGACACGGTCTCCACGCCACGGCTTTAGACTTGGCCGTGGCAACTTTGTGCAATCTTTCGGCGTTTGACACGGCCATGCATCATGACCAGAGGGAACGCGTGGCACCATGATTCATCCAAGAACAAGAGACACAGGACTTGACACGGTCACTTGCCACGGCTTGACCAAAACCTGTTAGACCGTGGCAAACTTCTTCTTTACCTCCCAAAGCCGGGTCAGTACCCGGTTTGTTCCGGGTTGACGCGGCTCGCCCAAGACTCCTATATATTGTTTTTAGACCTAATTTGGAGGACACTTTTTATCCACTTTTAGTTTCTTTTCCTCTTTAGTGAAAAACCACTTGATACACCTTGTTTTTAGAGTTTAATATCGATTTGAAGTTTTCTTTTCATCTTGTTCCATCATTTCTTATCATCAAATCACACTTCTAATCATGATTAACAACACATCTTGCAAAGGATTTAGTGTGTTGATCATGATTAGTGAGTAATCCCATATTAAGGTCTTAGATATGTAGATTAGGGTGCTTTAGTGATAATTTAGTGAGCTTAGGGGTTAGATCATGCATATTCCATTCTCTACAACCTGTTCTTAATGCTAGATCCATACAAATCATATGTGGTCTAGATTCTGGACATTTCATGCACCAAAAGTGTTTGATGAAATGTCTGAACCAAGGTTGTTAGAGGTTTAAGTGTTATTCATCATGGGAATGATTGTCTATATGCTTAAATGACAGATTAAACTGATTCTTAATGCTTGTTAATTCATGTTTCACTAATGATGATTAGGTTAGAAACTGTTTTGGCATAGGAGTTGATACCTTCATGAGAGGATTAACTTAATTAATAATGTTTAAGTTGAATGGTTTGCTTGATCATATGGTTCATTAGCTCACTAGTTTATCACTGAAGGCACCCTAATCCACTATCATGTCTAAGACCTTTCTCATCATCATACATACATTCTCATCACTTGTCATTTGCTTAGTTCTTTGTTTGATCATTTCTCAGTCATTAATCTTGTTTTAAGTTTATAGTTGTCATTAGTAAATCAAAACCACACTTGCTTGCTTGAATTGAGAAACTGATCACATAGCTTAGTGTCTATCACCACATTCTTGGATTGATAACCTCTTTGTGCTATATTGACAAGGGGATTGATAGCCCTGAGACCCTAAAAATCCCTATCTATCAGAGGCCAGCGCAGTAGAGGGTTAGCCTGCCCGTTGATGCTGTGTCCCCAGAGTGGCATCCCTTAATCGGACCACCCGGGGGCATGCCGCTCTACGGACAATATAACCATCATGCAGACTGGTTCCCTTTGCGGATCAGTCTGCCAGTTTTGGTGTATTCCGTGGTGGACAGCTCTCCCTTAGAGAGCCGGATATCTCTAGGGGATCGGCCACAAAGTCGCTGGGCTGGCAGGGCGGCATCCCCTCTAGGACATGACCGACGGCCAGGCATTGATCCCTTTATGTTACAAGTTCACAGTTCCATGTCACTTTGTCCACGGCGGGTGACTCAGACATTGCATTTTTCGTGACCCACGGTCCTAGGTCATTTCACCCCTGGTGTCTAACTCAAATAACACATCTTTTTTTTTTGGCAAACAATCCTAGGTCATACTGCCTACGGCGGATGACTCAGGCATCCTGTCCTTCATAAAAAGGCGTCACGCACCTCAAGTCAAAAGGGTGACTCAGGCAACGCGTCTTTCATCGAAAAAATGTTTCACACTTCAAGCCGATGACCAAAAGGGGGGAGAGCTTTTGTTCCCGGCAAGGATAACTTCCACATCACGGACTAACCCGCGAAGTGGGGGGAAAATTGTTGGGGATAAATTCAATCCTTCCTACATGGACGTAGTGCGTGCTTGCATGTGGTGTCCATGTCGTTTTTGCAGGTATGGCCCCTGGGCCAAATTAGGACACATATTAGGCCAGATGCCCAATACGTCCTAAGCTTATAGCACCGGTCCTCGAATTCATTCGGATTTGGGAGATCCGGCACGATAGGCCACCTGTTCCCGGATTCTTCGTGTCTGACAGTGCAGGCCACGCTGTCAAAAACAAGGAAGTCAGAAACTGAATAATCAGGAGGAGGATAGATCACATTCTCTATGTCTAAGACCTAAGTTCGGTGATCTGGAAGGGTCAGGATATAAGGAAGTGTGACCCGCACAGATACCCGGAGAGTAAAGTGATCCATTCTCAGCAGCGTGGTCTTCGTATCGAGGGAACCAGGTCAGGTATGAGTAGACTTCTTAGGCGGAAACACTATTCAAATTTCTCTCCTTTTGACAATAAGAATATGACTTAGTCTGATTTGATTACCCATATCCTTATAAACCCACATATTAGCGTTTAATGCATCTTCCTTACGTGTGTGAGGTGACAGTGACCTTTCACAGGAGTCAGGGGGAAAAGCAGAGGTTCAGCAAAGACTCATACCATGTCTGAACCGCTGATCCAACTCGTACACTGATAACAAAAGGGACGCACCAAGGAACGGTCTCGCAGTAGGCAGAACACGCCAAAGAAAGTTAGTGAGACCGCCAGAAGCATGACGCTATCACAAGATTCTAACCCAGTTAAGTCGGGTCGTGGACCGACCCACCTGAATCACTATCCGCAGATCGACCTGGTATACTAGTCCAGGTCAGGTAACTTCCTATAAATACTTAACCCTTTCCTAGGAGAAAGGGGTTCACTTCTTCAGCCATCTTAAGTCTCACGATAGCTCTCTAGATACTGGTGGTCCTTAAGTCCGGATACTCTACACTTTTCCGACCATATTTCCTGTTACTTCTTTTCACTTCTACACCACGGCGGTTTCTAAACTGTGGAGAATTTTCACTTACTAAATATTCTTTTCTTCTCTTTCCACCGCAAAAAGCTCATTTTTCAGCCAAAGGCCCCAGCAGATCCTACCTTTCTCAAGGACTCTCGGCACACTTTCCTTCAAATGTTTTTCGGCTTCTTTCTGCTCTCCAAGTAGCCATTTAGTGATCTTTTTGAGTTGTTTTCTGATTTGAACGTTGGAGAGCTTTTGAAAAATACACTCCATCATGTTTTCCGGGCTTTCATGGTTTCTTTGTTTTGCAGGAGATTTGCCTCTATTCAAGGACCGAAAATCTGTTAAACATTTATCCTGCTACACAATTTTATCTAGTCTTTGTCAAAGCCAGCAAAAAAAAGTTATTTTGAGAACAAAACTTTTGCCAACATTTAAAAAAAAATTAAAATTACGTTAGTCGTTTCTTCCAACAAATTAACAAACCTTTCCATTCTAACGAAGAAAAAAAAAGAGATAATACTCTTTCTTAAGAACTTGAAATAGGTGATGAAATACAAAAAACTAGTGAGAATAAGTAAAAAATTAACATTGGATCCGGTGAGATCCACAAGAGACCAATAAACTAGTACCACGTGTCTTATTTCACTTGACACTTGAAAAAACCTGCTGGCAAATCTTGAGGGAATATACGACAGTGTCAGGAGTTTCAGTTCCTGACCAAACACGTGTCAGTAAACTTAAAAACAATTGTAGTTTCAGAGCCAAACGTTTTAGAATAAGATTTTGGCGAAAGCATCTTCGCAGACGATACTCAGCATCTATGAAAGATCCACCGTTCAACTTGACAAGATCCAATGGCTCAGCATCTATCTCTCTTCAGATCCATTATTCAACTAGCTTGATCAATCCAACGGCTCAAATTCCATCTGACTCCATACTAATCTTCTCTTTCCTCCTCCTTTATATATAACCATTAAGATCAATCTTCAGAAACATTCAGAAATGGCGACTTTGGATTCTCCGTTAGATGTTTTGGCTTTGGACTACGTTAGCTTCCTCCTCAACAACCTCTGGGCATGGATTGCCGTCGTGACGGCCGCCGTGAGTTTCTGGCGGATCCGAGCCACCACTAACGGCAGCAAAAACGACGTCCGTTTAATAGATGAATCTCCTCGTGAGCCACCAAAACCACAAGCAACCGCTGCTCTTGCTGTGGAAACAGGACCTCGAGTGACGGTAACGGAGATGGAGGATTGGAGTCCGTTATTGTGCAATGACGGACTAACGAAGGGAAGATTCACCGTGTACTACGAGGAAGAGATTGACGGAGAGAGAGATAATGAAGATGGAGGGATAAGGTCCGTTAATTACAGAGGAGGTGAGTGTGGCGAGTGGTGGGAGAAATGGGAGAGAGTGGTGACGGTGAGAAATGGAGGTGACGGTTGGTACCGTTACGTAGATTCAACGGTGATTAACGGAAATGTGGTCAAGTTGTGGAATGCTAACAGAGTCCGTAACGGTGGTTGGGTTAGTGTGCAGCATAAGAAGTGGGGTGCTTGAGACTTATTGGCAAAATTCTTAGTTTGTTTGTTCTTTCTATTTCGAGCTTGATTATTGACTGAACCTTTTGGTTTATGACTATTTTTGTTGAACTAAAGTTGTAATCTGTATATATTTTAGTGATAAAACTATGATTGTTGAACAAATTAACTTTCATGGTGTTTTTTTTTTTTGTTATCCATGCAATATTAAAACATCCGAATTCGTAGACCACACTGATGGGATACAGTTTCGATATGTTAAATCAACAAATCTACTTAGCCTTGTTGCCATCCTATTTAATGTTTTCTAAAAAAAAATTTGTCTCCTTAATATCTTAATTGATAAATATTAACCCAGTTTGGCCCTCTAATTTTTGATTTATTAAATTTTATTAAAGTTTATTACATTATAATTTATTAGGTCTGGAACAGAACTGAATATCCGGACTTTTAAAGTATCCGGTTCCAGATCCATTTCTGTCTGATAATCAATTTTACTATCCGAATCCGGATCCGAAAACTCCGGATATCTGGTTCGAATCCGAATATTTACAGATCAGATACACACAAAATTGTTTACTAACATTAACCAAACAAAATAAAAAATAGAAATAAGAAGAAGAATTTTGTGTGCATTTTGTTGATCTAGCTTTAGTGAAGGATTCTAATAGCTATATTTACCCTATCTGACTAATTCCCTTTACCTATATACATCGGAATCATGGTTTCCTGAACTTACCATGTTTCATTTTGACCGTGCCCATGATGTTATCATTTGTATGGTCTCCTGAACTTCATTTACATTTGGGAGATATTGCAAGTGGATGCTTCATTACGTAGAGTTAGATCATCATTTTCCTATTTTAGTATTCACTTTTAGTTTGCATGTTCTTGTACAAAGTGTGTGTCTTGGACTTAATATCTGATTTCAAAAGAAAAGTTCTTTCCTTCTTTAGGTAGTGAGTTTACTGGAAAATCATTACTAGATACTCCAAATGTGCTTAAACGTAGTTCTATCTCTAACATAGAATCTACAGTCTGCAATCTCTAACCTAATGTCGATGTGATAAGAATCCCACATCAGATATAAGGGAACAAACAAATGCTTTTAAAACTTAGAGGCAACCTCTCACACACAAGCTAGCTTGTGTAGAAACCAACTATTATATGATTTATATCAATTGCGAACATTACTATAATCGTGAATTAGTGAGTGGGCCAAAAACAATAAGGACCCTTAGATTATGCTTGTGTGCCAATGGTAATAAGGACACTACAAGAAAAAAATCGTTTTCCAACGGTCCATTACGACGGTTTTCAAATCGTCGCAAGCTTACAACGATTTTACGACGATTTTACGTCTAATTTTAAAACCGTCGTATAAAAAATTCGTCGTAAACTCGACGTACAATTTACGACGAATTACGACGATTATACATCGATAACGAGAGATTTGCTAATAAATGTAAAATCGTCGTAAATTCGATGTAAAATTACGACGAATATACGACGACTGCATTTCGATGTACATATTATGACGATTTTACGTCGAAAAAGAAGTTAGGTGGAAAACATTTAAAACATGTTTACCTAACAATTGTAGGGGAAAGATTTTATCGCATAATCGTCGTAAACTCGTCGTAATATTATTTTTGAATGTAAATTCGTCGTAAAAGCGTTGTAAAGCTCGAAATTTTCCTATAAATAGATCTTCACTCCTTCTTTCAATCACAACACATCATCATTCAAACATAAGAGCATCTTCATCTTGGAGACCCATTGTAGGTCTCTTAAATTTTAGTATAGTGTTGTAAATCCTTATATATTGGGTTGTCCATTGCTGGAAACCCGAATTAGGAGTTATATTACTTTGAAAAAAAGAAATAATAATATTATAAGGTTAATTTACTCCATTCACGTGGCTAGACGTGACACAATTTTCTAATCAATAAAAAGAGATAGTATTTTGAGTTTATTTTCAAGATGTCTATATACGAGCTAAGAAGTTGGTTGTATATGCGTAAAGATTCAGATGGGGCGTTGACAGAAGAGTTCAAGAACGGGTTAGAAATATTTATGTTTCAGGCTACAAATATGGAGAAAACGAAAGATAGTGGGAAGATGTTTTGTCCTTGTTTGAAATGCAAGAATACGAGGTATACACTAACCAAAACCGTGTGGACGCATTTATTAAATAGAGGGTTTATGCCGCAATATTTTGTTTGGTATCTACATGGAGAAGGATATAGCAGTAATACTCATGGGAATGCTGGTAGTAGTAGTAATTATCAAAGTCATGTTGATATTGATGAATCGAATTATGGTCATCAGCCTAATCAGTATCAATATGATCAAAGTGTAGATCATGATAGGATGAACGAAATGGTGACTGATGCATTTCATGAAACGCATACTGGTAATGCTGTTGAGGAACCTAATGTAGATGCCAAACGATTTTATGATTTGTTAGACAATGCTAATCAGCCAATCTACGAAGGATGTAGAGAAGGCTTGTCTAAATTATCGTTGGCAGCTAGGATGATGTCAATTAAAACAGATCATAACCTGGCTGAGGTTTGCATGGATGATTGGGCTGATCTTCTAAAGGAGTATCTACCGGAGGATAACTTGGCAGCGGGAACATACTATGAAATTCAGAAGTTGATTTTTAGTCTTGGTCTACCTTTCTGAGATGATAGATGTATGTGTTGACAACTGTATGATTTTTTGGAAAGATGATAATCAGCTGGAGGAATGTCGATTTTGCCAAAAACCAAGATACAGGCCGCAAACTGGTGGGCGTAAAAGGATACCATACCAACGTATGTGGTATCTCCCTATAACTGATAGGTTAAAACGGCTTATTAATCTGAAAGGACAGCTGCATCAATGAGATGGCCTGCAGAACATACACAAGTAGATGGAGAAGTTGTTCATCCATCAGATGCAAAGGCATGGAAACACCTTAATATGGTATACCCAGATTTTGCTAAGTTCAAACGGAATGTCTATCTTGGTCTGTGCACTGATGGTTTTAGTCCATTTGGTATGTCTGGTAGACAATATTCATTATGGCCAGTAATCCTAACTCCTTATAACCTTCCTCCAGATTTGTGCATGCAAAGGAAATTTCTTTTCTTAAGTATTTTGGTTCCAGGTCCAAATCATCCGAAGCGAGCTCTCGATTATTTCTGCAGCCACTCATACATGAGTTGAATCAGTTATGGTATACTGGCGTTCGTACATATGACTGTTCTACGAGGAAAAATTTTACTATGCGGACTGTGCTTATGTGGACAATAAGCGATTTCCCCGCTTATGGTATGCTATCAGGATGGACTACACATGGGAGGCTATCTTGTCCTTATTGTCTTCATCGAACTGATGCGTTTCAGCTAAAACATGGTAGAAAAACTTGTTGGTTTGATTGTCACCGGAGGTTTTTACCGGATAACCATCCATATCGGAGGAACAAGAGGTTATTTATGAAGAACAAAAGTGTACATGTCCCTCCACCCGTTAATTTAACAGGAGCTGATATACAGGCGCAAATCGATCATTGGAGGGCAGAGGAAACAGTAACGCGTGGGGGAAACTGGCACACTCCTGCAAATATGTCTGAAGGTTATGGAGTTCATCATAATTGGCACAAGAAAAGTATCTTTTGGCAACTACCTTATTGGAAAGATCATCTGCTCAGACACAATCTTGATGTCATGCACATTGAAATTTTTTTTTTTGATAACATCATGCATACAGTTATGAACATAGCGGGAAGAACAAAAGACAATGGTAAGTCAAGATTGGACTTGCCTGATTTATGCAACAGAAGTGAGTTGCATCTACTGAGAAATGGGAAAGCACCAGTTCCTGTATTTCGGTTGAGTGCAGATCAAAAGTCAGCATTGTTCAGATGGGTTTCTTCCGACGTTAAATTTCCTGATGGGTATGTCTCTAATCTTTCCTAACCTGTTGAGAAGGGGGTAAAGTTTGCTGGGATGAAAAGCCATGACTGCCATGTGTTTATGCAACGATTATTTCCATTTGCATTTGCTGAACTCTTGCCCAAAAATGTCCATGAAGCTATTAGAGGCATTGGTGCTTTTTTCGGGATCTTAGTACACGAACATTATCAGTTGATGTAATATCACAACTGGCATTGAATATTCCAATCTTGTTGTGCAATTTGGAAAAGATCTTCCCACCATAATTTTTTGATGTTATGGAACATCTTCTTGTTCATCTCCCACACGAAGCAGAGCTCGGTGGACCCGTTCAGTACAGGTGGATGTATCCGTTCGAGCGTTTCATAAAGCATCTTAAAGGTAAAGCCAAAAACCTAGCTAAAGTGGAAGGCTCAATTGTGGCGGGAAGCTTGACGCAAGAGACTTCACACTTCACTTCATACTATTTTGCACCGAAAGTACGAACACGCAAAAGAGCTATGATGCGGGTTTGTAAACGGGGTTTGTTGTTTTCGTTTTACTAAGCTTCAGGTTTTAAATTTATAACCCCTAAATGTCTGCAAGTGCACAGATGTGCGCTGTAGTACTTAGGGTATCGATCCACAGAGACTTAGTTGTTTCAGTACGAATTCACTGCAACGCTTAAATCAGATTAGAACTAAAAGAGTTTTGGTTTTGGGTTTTTTGTTGTCACTAAATCTAAACTAGAAAGCTAAGCAAGTAAAAGCAAATAAAAACGAAAGCAACTAAAGCAAATAAAAAGCGATTAACTAAGGCAAATGGAACCAAGTAAATAGCGATTGAAAATGAAGGCAAATCAAAGCAAGTAAAATCGATTAAACAAAAGCGAATGTAAGCAAGTAACAAACGAATGAAAAACGAACTAAATTGAAGGTTGTAACCAATTAAAGACAAACGTTGGGCATCAAGGAGTTTTCGCAGGGTTCATAGTCTATGCTAGGTCGATTTTAAACAAGTGATAAAGGTAATCAACTACGTATGTTCTAGAACTCGAGGCACGGAAGTATGAATAGCCTACTTTCGCAGCACTAAACAACTATCTCTCGCAACCCTAATCAGTAGGTTTCCACTCTGATTCTGGAAGGGAGAAGATGCAATAGCAGAATAAGACTCATCAACATTCACAACTCAACTACAGGTAGGTTTCCACTCCTATAGAAGAATTGCTC